GACTTTTACAAGTAGTTTAAATATAAATATAAATAAAAAAATAAATTACAAAATAATCAAAATATAGATACAAATAAAATAACAAAAAAATTAGCTGGGCTACGACGAGTAAAAACTTTCATTGGGAAAAAGAGCCGTCCATTTATTAAAAAAAAAAATCAAAAAGAGTCAATTACAATTTTCTTTTGAATTATTATCCTTATTTTATTTCGTACTCTTAACTATAAAACTTTTTACATTATATCTTAAAGTATTAATTTTATTTCATATTATTTTAATAAATAATGACAAACTTGAAAATCTTTCAAAGGAGGGAAGAAAACCCTAAAAAGTTTTCCATCAAGTTCTTGGTACCAATTATTTATTTTACCTCTTTTACAATGGAATAATTGTTGGGAAAAATAACATTTGCCATAAGAAAAAAATTTAGAGTTTAGGAAGGATAAAGTCATGGTTAAATATTTTTTGTTATTTTTGACCTGCACTTATACAATAGGCAATTGTTTATTGGCAGTACAAACAACTTACATGTTTATTTACTGTCAAAAAATTGATATTCGTTATCAATTGGAATAATATGAAATAAAATTTATACTTGAAGGTATAATGTGATAAATTTTATAATTTAGTATATAAACTGCAATAAGGTAATATTTTAAGGGCACAAAGTATAATTTACCCAAAAAAACACTGTGAACTCCCGGTCTTTTTTCCGTCTTTCATCTATAACCTCTTCATCATCACTCTCCGCCGACTGAGCTTCGATGCTAGAGAGAGAGAGCGCGCGCGAGAGATAGACATGCAATGTATCACCACCGCTACCGTTGACCTGTGGATGCGTGTCGTTCGATTTGGATCGATAGAATCCAGAGTTGGGAGGTCTCGAAGCATCATTGCTTAAGATGATCAACGTTCATCACCATACCTCTCCCAAACTGCGCGAACACACCGGTCAGTTATACATACACATATAGACTATATGATTTTTTTGTGAAATTAGAGCTACGGTTTTGAATCTTGAAATTATTTCATGGAATTGTGGTTGATTTGTGAATTGTTTGCTAAATTTTGTTGTTTTGAACGAAAGAGAAGGCGAAGAAAGATGAGATACGTGTATCGGATGTGTTGGTGGATGCTGTTAAGAGAGGTGTGCAAGAGGCTTTCATAAATGAGAAGCAGATCGAACTCGAAATTCGAGCATTGGCGGCCACAATTAGCGATTCGGAAAGATGACCGATCGGTGGCTTTCCGCTTCTCATGCCATCAACACTGCAATCAAGGTCCACAACCCCTCCTCCTCCTTCTCGTGGCTTCCATTTCTTTACAATGTCTAATCCTAATCATATTTCGTTTGCACACAGCATGATAGCCTCTACATTGTAAAGAACATGTCAGTATAAAGCTTAATTGTCCACTACTAGTTAATTGATGGTTCTTCACAGCTGCAAAGAATGTATTGATCTGATTATTATCCGAGGAAAAAAAAACTAAAGTCTATAATTTGTGAGCTGGACACACAGATGCAACAATCGCGCACACACATACACACGCCATTTTCGTTTCTGAACAAAGGTGTGATTTCTTCACTCAGTACTCCTCTGTTCTTCTTCATCAGGTAAGAAGTTGATTTCGAATTTCTTAATCACATCATTTGAGAGAAGAAATTTGCTATTGTACCCTAGTTGAAATTTAACTATAGTGTGTTCAATTTCACTGATAGTGTGTTCAGTTTGAAAACTGTTTATTTGTTGGAAGTAAGTCCATACATACCATTAGTATTTGGCTTTGGATATTTTATGTCTTGATTGGTGTCTCTTTGGGTCGAGTTCAATTGTTGTCTATGAAATTTATATGAACCACAGACATCCATTGAACCCATTAAGTGGGTGTAATGAACTTAACATTGGATAATTGAACTTGGCGGAGGACACATACATATACTAATTCTTAAACTTATTGTATATATAAATATTTAACCAAATATGTGCATTAATATTTTCATTTGAATTCTTCTTCAGTGCTGGCTGCATGGTTTTTGTTTAAGTGTCTACACATCACTCTTGGTGTTCTTGCATTTTCGGTTCCTATTCTCTGCTTCAATGAGATCACTCCACAAAGTGAGTTCTATTCGGTTGTCACCACGTATTTTCAAGGTAAGTAATATCAATATATTATCGCTAAATCTTTCACTTGAAATCTAAATATTTAAAAAATCNCTCCTATTCTCTGCTTCAATGAGATCACTCCACAAAGTGGGTTCTATTCGGTTGTCACCACGTATTTTCAAGGTAATTAATATCAATATATTATCGCTAAATCTTTCACTTGAAATCTAAATATTTAAAAAATCAATTTTTAGTAAATCCGTCCTTTGAAATCTAAACTTATTGAAAAGTTTAACTGGAATGATTGATTATTGCAAGATGCTAGTGAGAGTTGCTACCGAACAATCCAAAATTCATGGTCTGAAATTGATAAAGTCATTTCCAAGCCGCATGGTCTCGCCATCCTCAGCCAAAGATTCAAGACTTGGATGTACGTGAGAGTTTGTAGTTAATAGTTGGACACAAATTGAGCCCAGAAGATTAAGCTCAAGTTTAAAGTAGTTTGTTCCCATCTTTGATTAGTTATTTGCTTTGAAATATGGTTGGTTTATGAGTTATGGAGGCGTAACATTTGTTTGTGTGGATTGTTTTGGGTTCTTTGTTGTAGATTGACCTTCCAAAGTCATGCAGTGCTGGCAGAGGCTTATCTTGTGGGACTTCGTTTGAGGACACTAATCTGGGTGTAATTCATGCCAAGCGGGTGACAAAGGATATCTAGTTAGCTAGGAGGATCAGGGGTTTAATTGAGGATGTGGCCCTGGTGTTGGTTGTGATGGAATAGGGTGGTGTTCTTTGGTTTGGTTTCGGTGTTAAGTAATATAGCAACATTTTCTTCGTTGAACTATGTTTTTGTTGTTTGTTGTGAGACCAGAGGTGTGGAACAATCTCTACAATGTTTGGGTATAATGTAGTGGTTTTATTCTATTCACCTGACTAGGCCTTTAATTTATTTCTTGGTGATACAATAAATGATTGTTTACTATTTGTTATGAAGCCCCCCATGTAATTTACTNGTTTGTTGTGAGACCAGAGGTGTGGAACAATCTCTACAATGTTTGGGTATAATGTAGTGGTTTTATTCTATTCGCCTGACTAGGCCTTTAATTTATTTCTTGGTGATACAATAAATGATTGTTTACTATTTGTTATGAAGCCCCCCATGTAATTTACTCCCGTATAAATTTTATTATTATTTTTTAGAAAAGGTACAACTTTTAACTGGGAAATCATTTTTCCAGGAGAAGATTACACTTTCGCCAACAAAATTTTTGTCGGCAATTGAATTTCCATTTACCTAGGAAATTGAATTTTGTTCAAGGATTTGAGACACGTAAAATGGCTTTCTATAAACCGATGTAATTTTCTTCCACTCTTAATAGTTTGTTAAAGAGATGTTGACAAATCTCTTTCACGATACAACAAAACTTTAAACTAATTATGTAGATAATAATTCTTAAATAATTACTTATTATCTTTTTGAGTTGTTTGACTTAATATATAGGCAGATATATAAAAAAAATTATTGTTTTCCATCAAGAACAAAAAANGATATAATTTTCTTCCACTCTTAATAGTTTGTTAAAGAGTTGTTGACAAATCACTTTCACGCTACAACAAAACTTTAAACTAATTATGTAGATAATAATTCTTAAATAATTACTTATTATCTTTTTGAGTTGTTTGACTTAATATATAGGCAGATATATAAAAAAAATTATTGTTTTCCATCAAGAACAAAAAATAAAAAAAGAAAATTCTTTGAAAATATAGCATTCTGCTTAACCCTAAAAGAATAAAAATAGTTTAATCACTCAACGGTATAGCTAAATTTTGGTATTTTTTGACAACATATATATGGTTTTCTTTTTTACTTATTTATTTGTCCCCTCACCCTCTCCTCCAACCAACCTTCCGACCAAGTGGGTTTTGTTTTATATATGCTAGTAGTAGTCCTGTGCGATCCATAGAANCCTAAATTTTGGTATTTTTTGACAACATATATATGGTTTTCTTTTTTACTTATTTATTTGTTCCATCACCCTCTCCTCCAACCAACCTTACGACCAAGTGGGTTTTGTTTTATATATGCTAGTAGTAGTCCTGTGCGATCCATAGAATTATAAGTCATGTTTTTTAAAAGATTTTTAATTTTATTACTTGAGAAATTAAATAAAGAATTATATTTAAGTTCTTGGGTTATAAAAAGTAATTTTTTTGAAAAATTTTAAAAAATAATACTTAGTTATTCAAGAATTGGTGGGTAATTAGCAATGACACATGTCAAAGTTTGTTTGGAGAGAGCCTTAAATTTTGAATTAAAAATATTCTAAACTCCAATAAAAAAAAAAAAAAAAAAAAAGTAGAAAGAAAGACTTCTCAAGTCACCTTCCACCTAATTTGATTGTTCTATATATATACTAGCCTTGGCTCGGTGCGATGTACAGAAATTGTGTGCATCTTCTTTCCCTTCCTATTTTTTTCCTACTATCATTATTAAAAAAAAAATTAGGGTGTTAAAATAAGTATGTAAAGTTATGGTGATGAAATTATATTTCTAAAAAAAATTAAATTATATTTTTAATAAAAAAGAAAATTGGGAGGAAATGCTTCTCAAGCCACCTTCCACCAAATATAAGTATATTTGTGTAAATCTCTCTCCCCCCATACAAATTTAGAAGATATCAATTCATATTGTGTTGTTTGTGTTGGAATCGAGACGACAAAACATACTGGCACAATATAAAAGAAGAGACTTAGATTACAAAAAGCAAGAATTCTTTTATTATCACTTAAACACAACATAATTTAAGAAATACAAAAGCCACATGTATATATTTACGACAAGCTGCATGAATTGTCATACATGTATATACTTACGACAAACTGCATGAAATGTCATACATTTATCATTTTAATCTTTTCAGTGACCATCTCTGAATCATCAGTCATCAAGTTCAGATAAGCAGGAGTTAAGGGCCTAAACACATGTGATGCCTCCTTCTCAACCAAATCCAAGTGCTTTTCAAGGAGGTGCATGTACACAACCCAATCTCCTTCCTTACTCATGCTAGGCACTGGCATCACATACCCAGTCTGTCCACCCCATGGGAAATGGTACGACCCGAAATCGGGTCGTCCCCATCCAAAGTCCAATTCTGATATTGAAAAACGTTGGCCTGATGATATGACGATCGCCGCTTCGTCATTGCTCTCTTTGAAATAGACCTTTACTATGGCTTGCTGTGGTCGATTCAACTCGACCCAATCAATCAGCCCTAGAAAATGTTCCTGGTTAGCATGTTCCACACATTCGTGGACAGAATCTGCAACCTGATTGAGCTCCATCATCTTGATTTCACCTATAGGAACGAGTAAAATACTAAGTTCGTTATTCTAATGAAAAATACAATTAAATAGGAGTTAGTTGAAGACAAGTTACCACTAAAAAAAGACTAGTACAAGTCAACGTGGACAAATCACTATTAAGTTAGGATTGATCACAAAATATTAGGAAGTGAATTGCACCCCAACCTTATCTTACTAGCAATTTTGGGTATGCCACAAAAAAGTAAAGGGTGAAATAAATTTTTAGGCTTCAAAGTATGCGTGTAGTGTCTATTTTGTATTTAAGGTTTATAATTTGTATCTATGTAATCCAATCTCAAACGTCCGCCAAAAAATTGTTGATAGCTCTGGTTACACGTCAATCACGTGGGATTAAATATGCACAAATTAGGCACTTTAGGAATCAAATATACACAAATTAGAAATTTTAGGGATTAAATAGACACAAAATTATGAACCACTTGATTGACACATGACCAGAACCGTCAACGATTTTCTAACGACGTTTGAAATTGGACCACTTCGATACAAATTAAAAATTTTAGGGGTCAAATAGACACAATTGAAAGATTGAAAATCAAATAAATACTAAATGCATACCTTGCAAACCAAAAATATATTTTACCCAAAAGTAAATCATGGGGGCCATGATGGTAACTCACCTACGCTTGCCTCACCATATGGAACGGAAAGAACGTTTCCAAAATAATTGTCCAATGACAAAACTTTGTTTAACCTCCCTCGTCCATCCACTACAATGCCCATCTTGCATCTCTTGTCATGGTCATGGCCCCCCTCCGCCACAATCTTCCACAGGAAGGCTGTGAAAGACTCAAGTTTGCTTCTCCTGGATCCATTGGAACTGGCCTCGGATTGGAGGTTGTCTATTTCCTCAGCCGTGATGTAGTAGATACGAGTAATGAGGTGATCTTCATTGGGCGCGAGATCTTTTGGTGGTGGTGGTAGCGATGACAAAAAAAGGTACATATNTACAATGCCCATCTTGCATCTCTTGTCATGGTCATGGCCCCCCTCCGCCACAATCTTCCACAGGAAGGCTGTGAAAGACTCGAGTTTGCTTCTCCTGGATCCATTGGAACTGGCCTCAGATTGGAGGTTGTCGATTTCCTCAGCCGTGATGTAGTAGATACGAGTAATGAGGTGATCTTCATTGGGCGCGAGATCTTTTGGTGGTGGTGGTAGCGATGACAAAAAAAGGTACATATTATCAATGGCCTTGTCGTATTGACTTGGGCGTCGTGGATTGAGCATTGAACGCCTGAAAATTGGAGTGTGAGATACAAATTTTCCTTGAGCAATCTGTGTCCATGCAATAAGGAACATGTTGGCAGAATGAGCATCGGTAACTCGATGATCGAATGAGCATCCAATCACTAGGCCCCCACATCTGAGCTCTGTCACCTGTTTGGTTCAATTATTATCAATTAGGTGCAGGGGCGGAGCCAAGATTCCATATTGGGGGGAAAAATACAAATAATTTTTTTTTTGAAGTTCAAAGACGATTTAAGACTAAATTATTATGAAAAACAAAATTGTTACCATTAAACCTTAACTAAATATGGACATAAAATTCTTTCAAATCACAAAAATCGTGTATACTTTCTATGTTAAATTTCTTAGGAATTGATTCTCATTTTATTACGGAGCATAGTCGAGATTTCCTTTCATCTTGTTGAAGAATTGATTCATTGAAAAAATAAAAAATATTTCCGGGTTAGGATATTTTATCATTTGTATCGAATTATATTACTAGGTTATGTGTCACTAAATTATCAAAATAGTGAAATTCAACTATACACTTATTTTTATAAAATATGAGCAATGCATTAAATGTAAATATTGTCTTTGATAAATATAGGTCAGGACAATTCACATCTTTTGTACCTTTGTTTCATTGGGTATGGGATTATTGACCACTACTTATTGAAAAGATCTTTGCCATTTATACAAATTTTATAAAACATAAGGGGGACAATGTATCATTTTACGACTACAATGACCTTTAAACATATACATATACGCGGAGGATTTTCAAACTCAGTGGGGCCAAGTGCCCCCCCTGAGACAAACATAGCTTCGCCCCCTGATTGGGTGGGTGAAAAGTCTCATTATGGTTAGTACTAATGTCACTGCCAAAACATAAATTAAAGCCTAAAATCAAGTGTAACCCGAAATTATGTCCCATATCCTTGTTAAAAAACTATAAGGTCTTGGACTTGACTACGTTACAGATATTTTCACCAAATTTATCATTTTTGTAAAAAAATATTTTATCATTTTTGTGGGTAATTTATTATTTTTATAAATATTTTTACTCCTACTATAATAATTATTTTTACCACTTTTCTTTGATACAAAAAAAATTATTATTTTTGTGTGTGTTTTTATCATTTTTTTTCGATACGAGTTTTTATCGTTACTTACTTGTTAGGAGTAGGATTGATTATAATTTATCCCCTTCAAGTTTCGTTTATTTTACCATTGTCAATTGATACGAATTAAGTATCTTCAAATAATACTATATTCCAAAAATCGAGAATTTAAATTTCAATAACACCGGTATAAATATGTGAACGGACCACCATATGAGGCCATATAGGGGGAGGGAGAATATTAGACAATGGGCTCAAAGGGTGAACGGTTTGTGAGATATTCAAACTCCTAACTTACGCCTGTAAAGACGTTTATTAGGTGGTCGAGCTACCACTACACTAACCGCTTGGATTAACCCTCCTTGATCTCCATCAAAAAATTTCCACTTATAATTCTACAAGCTATGGTGTGGTGCAGTTAGAAATTTTATTTAGTGATGGAGGTCATTCAATAGAATCTGAAAAATTATGACTAATTCACCGAAGAATTTAATAATTTTAGCTTAATTTGATTGTATAATCATTCATATATATCTAAGTTTAAACTCAATTTCATCACATCATTAGTAATTTTCAACACAAATTCACCAAATAATACAAGAAATATAACTTATTTTACACTCAATTTCACCAACAACAATATAATTAATATGCATTTAGTTAAGAGGGGAGTCACCTCAGTTCCTTCCTTAGCTTAGACAAGACTTTTAAAAAGTTGAATACTCAGTTATATGCGTGTTGTGCCCCTTTAGTTGGAGCGCTTTGCTTGACCTGATCGTTGTGCCAAGGGCTGATGATGCGTTGAACAGCTCTGAGTTCTGTTTGCTGGGCTCTTGACGGTAGGCTATACAGCTCATAGACAAATACCGACTCAATCCACTCCTACTGTGTGGGAATATCCGTCGGTCGGTGTCGGGTCGGCCCCTAGGCCACTATTCGCCCNATTCTCATTTTATTACGGAGCATAGTCGAGATTGCCTTTCATCTTGTTGAAGAATTGATTCATTGAAAAAATAAAAAATATTTCCGGGTTAGGATATTTTATCACTTGTATCAAATTATATTACTAGGTTACATGTCACTAAATTATCAAAATAGTGAAATTCAACTATACACTTATTTTTAGAAAATATGAGCAATGCATTAAATGTAAATATTGTCTTTGATCAATATAGGTCAGGACAATTCACATCTTTTGTACCTTTGTTTCATTGGGTATGGGGTTATTGACCACTACTTATTGAAAAGATCTTTGCCATTTATACAAATTTTATAAAACATAAGGGGGACAATGTATCATTTTACGACTACAATGACCTTTAAACATGTACATATATGCGGAGGATTTTCAAACTCAGTGGGGCCAAGTGCCCCCCCTGAGACAAACATAGCTTCGCCCCCTGATTGGGTGGGTGAAAAGTCTCATTATGGTTAGTACTAATGTCACTGCCAAAACATAAATTAAAGCCTAAAATCAAGTGTAACCCGAAATTATGTCCCATATCCTTGTTAAAAAACTATAAGGTCTTGGACTTGACTACGTTACAGATATTTTCACCAAATTTATCATTTTTATAAAAAAATATTTTATCATTTTTGTGGGTAATTTATTATTTTTATAAATATTTTTACTCCTACTATAATAATTATTTTTACCACTTTTCTTTGATACAAAAAAAATTATTATTTTTGTGTGTGTGTTTTATCATTTTTTTTCGATACGAGTTTTTATCGTTACTTACTTGTTAGGAGTAGGATTGATTATAATTTATCCCCTTCAAGTTTCGTTTATTTTACCATTGTCAATTGATACGAATTAAGTATCTTCAAATAATACTATATTCCAAAAATCGAGAATTTAAATTTCAATAACACCGGTATAAATATGTGAACGGACCACCATATGAGGCCATATAGGGGGAGGGAGAATATTAGACAATGGGCTCAAAGGGTGAACGGTTTGTGAGATATTCAAACTCCTAACTTACGCCTGTAAAGACGTTTATTAGGTGGTCGAGCTACCACTACACTAACCGCTTGGATTAACCCTCCTTGATCTCCATCAAAAAATTTCCACTTATAATTCTACAAGCTATGGTGTGGTGCAGTTAGAAATTTTATTTAGTGATGGAGGTCATTCAATAGAATCTGAAAAATTATGACTAATTCACCGAAGAATTTAATAATTTTAGCTTAATTTGATTGTATAATCATTCATATATATCTAAGTTTAAACTCAATTTCATCACATCATTAGTAATTTTCAACACAAATTCACCAAATAATACAAGAAATATAACTTATTTTACACTCAATTTCACCAACAACAATATAATTAATATGCATTTAGTTAAGAGGGGAGTCACCTCAGTTCCTTCCTTAGCTTAGACAAGACTTTTAAAAAGTTGAATACTCAGTTATATGCGTGTTGTGCCCCTTTAGTTGGAGCGCTTTGCTTGACCTGATCGTTGTGCCAAGGGCTGATGATGCGTTGAACAGCTCTGAGTTCTGTTTGCTGGGCTCTTGACGGTAGGCTATACAGCTCATAGACAAATACCGACTCAATCCACTCCTACTGTGTGGGAATATCCGTCGGTCGGTGTCGGGTCGGCCCCTAGGCCACTATTCGCCCTGGGAGTGGTTCGGCCATCAAGCTATTTTGTGAGGTAGGGGCCTTGCCATTTATTTCTTTGTATGTCATGCTCAAGTCTAGAACCCATTATTACTTTTGGCTCTTTTTAAGACTTTCACTCACGGCGACTTTTCTACTGGAGGAGATAAAGGGGAGTAATAAATTTATATGTTCTCAATTTGAAATTAGATAATTCTTTGGGACCGGCCTCCCAGACATCGATATAACTTGATTAGTAGGACAAGTCTCCATTGACTTGGGTGTTGGCTCCACTCCCTGCCAATTGCGAGAGTCCTGATTCACCATTGCACATTTTGAGATACTAATATATGTGACACTCTGAACGAAAATTACCTCCCAAAAAAGACTAGGTTTGGCTTTGTTGGGAGGTAATTTCTTCGGAAGTTTAATCGACTTCGCCACTAGACCACAATTCTAGTGGCTTATAAATATAAACACTAACAAATTTTTTAATGCAACAAAGAGGAAAACTATAAAAATCTGATTGATTATTGGTATTAGTGATATAAGAGCATCTCATAGAGATGCTGTAAAACACAAAAATAATTAAAATTTAGCTAATCAAAGTAAAATANTACAAATAGACAGAAACTTAATTTTATATTGTTGCATTTTATTAAATATGCACCAAAATTTATAATATAAAACATGATAGATTTTAAAAAATTTATTTGACGCTCTCAAATAAATTCATCAAACGGTCACTAATATCTCTCTTAAAATTATTTGAATTTTATTTTTCTCTCTTCACTCTCTCTCTCTCTGTGTGGGATTTTCATTTCTCATATTTTTAAATTAATTAATTGAAGGCACAAGTTACTCATAATTGTATACTAAATTTCGACACCAAATGATAGGAGCGGTTGGATTTGTGGGACCCGCTAACACTATTTCACATTCAATAAATATGGGGTTGTCATATCATTTGGTGCACATGGTGATACATTTGGTCCCATTTTTTGCTATTTTAAATTTTACTCGCCACGTTAGTCTTTTGTTTTTTGGTCCTATTTTTTTGGTTAGTGTAGCATTGCTTGGAGTTTATTCCATGGTATCACTTATGCTACCCATAATTTCATTAAACAACTTTTTTAAATGGTTACATTGGCTAGATATCAAAGTATTCATCTTACTCAAAATGGAAGAGTAATTCTATTGCGATCTAAAAAATTAATTTAATTTATTGACATAATAATTTGAAGAATAATTCAATATCTTATATTTTACGGATTCTGATTTGGATATACNCAAAAAATTTCCACTTATAATTCTACAAGCTATGGTGTGGTGCAGTTAGAAATTTTATTTAGTGATGGAGGTCATTCAATAGAATCTGAAAAATTATGACTAATTCATCGAAGAATTTAATAATTTTAGCTTAATTTGATTGTATAATCATTCATATATATCTAANGAAAAAATTTCCACTTATAATTCTACAAGCTATGGTGTGGTGCAGTTAGAAATTTTATTTCGTGATGGAGGTCATTCAATAGAATCTGAAAAATTATGACTAATTCACCGAAGAATTTAATAATTTTAGCTTAATTTGATTGTATAATCATTCATATATATCTAAGTTTAAACTCAATTTCATCACATCATTAGTAATTTTCAACACAAATTCACCAAATAATACAAGAAATATAACTTATTTTACACTCAATTTCACCAACAACAATATAATTAATATGCATTTAGTTAAGAGGGGAGTCACCTCAGTTCCTTCCTTAGCTTAGACAAGACTTTTAAAAAGTTGAATACTCAGTTATATGCGTGTTGTGCCCCTTTAGTTGGAGCGCTTTGCTTGACCTGATCGTTGTGCCAAGGGCTGATGATGCGTTGAACAGCTCTGAGTTCTGTTTGCTGGGCTCTTGACGGTAGGCTATACAGCTCATAGACAAATACCGACTCAATCCACTCCTACTNCATATGCGTGTTGTGCCGCTTTGGTTGGAGCGCTTTGCTTGACCTGATCGTTGTGCCAAGGGCTGATGGTGCGTTGAACAGCTCTGAGTTCTGTTTGCTGGACTCTTGACGGTAGGCTATACAGCTCATAGACAAATACCGACTCAATCCACTCCTACTGTGTGGGAATATCCGTCGGTCGGTGTCGGGTCGGCCCCTAGGCCACTATTCGCCCTGGGAGTGGTTCGGCCATCAAGCTATTTTGTGAGGTAGGGGCCTTGCCATTTATTTCTTTGTATGTCATGCTCAAGTCTAGAACCCATTATTACTTTTGGCTCTTTTTAAGACTTTCACTCACGGCGACTTTTCTACTGGAGGAGATAAAGGGGAGTAATAAATTTATATGTTCTCAATTTGAAATTAGATAATTCTTTGGGACCGGCCTCCCAGACATCGATATAACTTGATTAGTAGGACAAGTCTCCATTGACTTGGGTGTTGGCTCCACTCCCTGCCAATTGCGAGAGTCCTGATTCACCATTGCACATTTTGAGATACTAATATATGTGACACTCTGAACGAAAATTACCTCCCAAAAAAGACTAGGTTTGGCTTTGTTGGGAGGTAATTTCTTCGGAAGTTTAATCGACTTCGCCACTAGACCACAATTCTAGTGGCTTATAAATATAAACACTAACAAATTTTTTAATGCAACAAAGAGGAAAACTATAAAAATCTGATTGATTATTGGTATTAGTGATATAAGAGCATCTCATAGAGATGCTGTAAAACACAAAAATAATTAAAATTTAGCTAATCAAAGTAAAATATTATACTATAACAAATGCTCTTCAGATACTCCAAAATAAATTTTTGTTGCAATGATACTCTAAATATAGAGTATCACTGTAACAACTTGTGAACATATTTTATATTATTTTTTTCCTCTTCCATTCTATCTCTTACAATAAAAGCATCCCATAGACTATTTTGTTAGGAGAATATTCTTTCATCTAGAGGTAGAAACTTGGATTTTAACCTCAAGTGAGCTGGTGAGGTTGGACAAGACGATTCAAAGTCATCTTAGTGTTTGTCATTTTCCACGCCATGATGGCATAGAGACTTGTGCGTGCTAGATCTTGCACAATATAAAAACGAGAACAGATCTCTCTCTTGGTGAACTCGAGTGAGTCAGTTGGGTGGTCAACCACGCTGCTTGGAACAGCTTGTTAGATCCGGTGGTAACCTGGAACGGTAATGAGAGATCCTCGCGGATCAAAGGAACGATCCAGTAAGGCTAAAGAAAGGTTCCTGGAACAAAGAAGAACAAGTTAGAAGGGCGCCAGAGTGTTTTCCGGCGTATCCCCTCCGACGATCAAGTCAGTTTTTGAGAGAGAGGAAGAAAAAAATACTGAGTATAATATGTAGCAAAAGTTTCACCTCCTTTTCCTTGCCTTTAGTGAGGAGTATTTATACCTCAAATACTCATGATTGCTGTCAGTGTGGTCAGTAGGTGATCATTAGATACAGACAACGTGCGCACTGATTCCTATGAGGAATGTCTTCTCTCTTAACTGCTTGGGACCCCGAGCAATCAAGACTGTGTCATCGGCCTGCCGACGGTTCAATGAGCTCCTCTCGGGAAGGATGCAATAAATGCTCAGCCTTAGAGACATTTATTGCCTTTCACTTCTGAGCCTTACCGCATTGAATGCAGTCTTATCAAGGGAAATGTGTAATTAAATGCTTGTTTTCCCAAGTCGCGTGTCAGCAAGGTCATGCGGTCTTTCTGTCTCTGATGTAACACAATATGTCACGCGTTCATTCCTCATTGGTTGTGGCCCCTGCCTTCCTGTGCCTTCTGACACTAATTGTGTAAGACGAGGTTATGATAGTTAACCTAGCCTAGCCTATGCTAGTGACCAGTGCATCAATAGCCTCTGCTGGAGCAGAGAACTTCATCCTGGATGAGAGGGGTACATCTCGGTACCGAGAAAGAGGTACATCTTAGAGCCGAGGAAAAGGTACATCTCGGAGCCGAGGAAGAGGTACATCTCGGAACCGAGGAATAGGTACATCTTGAATCCGAGAGGGGGAGGCCTAGCGACCGATGTACCACATCAGACCGAGGGTACGTGTCGGTACATAAAAACGTACTGGATGCCACTCGATCTCATGATAAGTACCTCGGGGTAGAGGGGACTTGTGACCAGATGGGTACATGATCTCGATAACAAGGATCAGTGACACCGAGGACAAGTGTCTTCATCTTGGAGTATTCCGGAAATGTTCCATCAAGACTATCGAATGGTTTTTGGCCTTTCTCCTTTGCCTTTGCATGCTAGCATATATGGTTCCCGTATGTCTCATTTTGTTGTAACAATAGTATTCGTTTTCGACACAACAAAATATTATCGATTCAAAATTATTAGGTTATGATGATTAGTTCGAAAACACTTCAATGAATAGACTAACAGATCATCTGAATAATTGCAAAACATAAGTAATCCAATTTTTGATATGACAAAGACGTTTAAGTAATAAAATCTGAAGAAAATGGGGTAGTTTTTTATTTTAATTTTTCTCATTTCTTGATTTAGGATTGTAGGAATACTTGGAGACTAGAGAATTTTTTCTGGGCTTTTATAAGGAAAGGCTTGTTAGATCAAGAAAGAAGGGGTTTTTATCCAAAGTATGGATTTTTTGGTTCACAGGTTAAGCCTATCAATCAAAACACGACTCGATTATTAATTATGTCGACTTACTAACAAATCATTTAATGTGATTAAACAATAAATATTAGTACTTAACACAAATTCGAAATGATTATACGAAAGAAAAACAAATCACCTGAACGGCAAGCACACCATGCTTCTTAATGGGGACCAATTTCCCATCAACGGAGTCATCAGGGTGATAGAGGTCCAGGTCTTTGAGCTCCACATCTGCATAAGCTACGGCAAAATCGACGCCCCGGTCATTGCAGAGCAGCTCAGGCTCGCCGTGGCGGTTGTGAACTACTTCTCCGGCTAATGCATAGAAGGAGACGAGGGCTTGAGACAAGGCTTTCTTGATGGTGTTCACCATGTTTTCGAACTGTTCTTGGTCAGTTCTTTTCTTGTAGAAGAAGAAAATTCCAAAGTCCAAGGGTGGTAGAAGCAAATCCAGGTTTGACATTGGTAACCAGTGCTCCTGCATTGGCAGCACCGCAGCCACCACCTCTGTCTTCTTTGTGATCACAGAAAATCCACAAGAACCCATGCTTCTTGTAGAGAGAGAGAGAGATGGCAGTGAACGAGGTGCAAGATGATGAACTTGTGGGCAGATTTATATAACTCGGATAGGGAAATTACTATGTTTACTCTTCCTCTCTCTCTCATATTGAAAGACTTTTCCAATTACCTAACCTGCTCAAATGACGAGTTCCATTTCCATAGGATATAAGGTCTCAATCAAGGGCATGGTGGTGATTTAATGCAGCAGAGATTAGGAAGAATAAACCCTACTCTGGCCTACATATAAACAACACACACTAATCCAAGTCAATAACACGACTCAGCTCAACCTGCCATGCGTTTGGTAGCCAAGAAATAGACAGATAATTTTATACTGTTGCATTTTATTAGTAAATGTGCATCAAAATCTAGAATATAAAACATGTTAGACTTCAATAATTTTATTTGACGGTCTCAAATAAATTCATCGAACGACCATTAATGCTTCTCTCAAAACCAATTGAATTTTATTTTCTTCTCCTCACTCTTCACTCTCTCTCTGTNTGTCGACTTACTAACAAATCATTTAATGTGATTAAACAATAAATATTAGTACTTAACACAAATTCGAAATGATTATACGAAAGAAAAACAAATCACCTGAACGGCAAGCACACCATGCTTCTTAATGGGGACCAATTTCCCATCAACGGAGTCATCAGGGTGATAGAGGTCCAGGTCTTTGAGCTCCACATCTGCATAAGCTACGGCAAAATCGACGCCCCGGTCATTGCAGAGCAGCTCAGGCTCGCCGTGGCGGTTGTGAACTACTTCTCCGGCTAATGCATAGAAGGAGACGAGGGCTTGAGACAAGGCTTTCTTGATGGTGTTCACCATGTTTTCGAACTGTTCTTGGTCAGTTCTTTTCTTGTAGAAGAAGAAAATTCCAAAGTCCAAGGGTGGTAGAAGCAAATCCAGGTTTGACATTGGTAACCAGTGCTCCTGCATTGGCAGCACCGCAGCCACCACCTCTGTCTTCTTTGTGATCACAGAAAATCCACAAGAACCCATGCTTCTTGTAGAGAGAGAGAGAGATGGCAGTGAACGAGGTGCAAGATGATGAACTTGTGGGCAGATTTATATAACTCGGATAGGGAAATTACTATGTTTACTCTTCCTCTCTCTCTCATATTGAAAGACTTTTCCAATTACCTAACCTGCTCAAATAACGAGTTCCATTTCCATAGGATATAAGGTCTCAATCAAGGGCATGGTGGTGATTTAATGCAGCAGAGATTAGGAAGAATAAACCCTACTCTGGCCTACATATAAACAACACACACTAATCCAAGTCAATAACACGACTCAGCTCAACCTGCCATGCGTTTGGTAGCCAAGAAATAGACAGATAATTTTATACTGTTGCATTTTATTAGTAAATGTGCATCAAAATCTAGAATATAAAACATGTTAGACTTCAATAATTTTATTTGACGGTCTCAAATAAATTCATCGAACGACCATTAATGCTTCTCTCAAAACCAATTGAATTTTATTTTCTTCTCCTCACTCTTCACTCTCTCTCTGTCTCTCTCTCTCTCTGTGGGATCTTCATTTTTCACATCTCTAAATTAATCGATTAATTTACATTGTACCATGTCTAAAATTGCGAGTTACTCCTAATTGTATACCAAATTTCGACACATCTAATAAATATGGGATTGTCATATCATTTGGTACACATATCATTACTCGTGTAGTGTAGTGATACATTTGGTCCCATTTTTGCTATTTAAAATTCAATAATTGTAGACTGACTAAATTTTAAAACTAAATTTGAAAGTCAAATGANTAAATGATATGAGTGGTTGGATTTGTGGGACCGCTAACACTTATTACACATCTAATAAATATGGGATTGTCATATCATTTGGTACACATATCATTACTCGTGTAGTGTAGTGATACATTTGGTCCCATTTTTGCTATTTAAAATTCAATAATTATAGACTGACTAAATTTTAAAACTAAATTTGAAACTCAAATGATATGTCAGCTGATTATTTGTAGTTTTTATTAGGGCCCAAATGACCTGACTCCAGTGAAAAAATCTTAAGTCAACTATCATGTCATTTGAGTTTCAAATTTGGTTAGTGTAGCAATACTCTTTAAAATTTTCAATTTTACTTGCCCCGTTAGTCTTTTATTGTTTGGTCTTATGTTTTTTGGTTAGTGTAGCATTGCTTGGAGTTTATTCCATGGTTTCACTTACGCTACCAATAATCTCATTAAACAACTTTTTTAAATGGTTACATTGGCTAGATATCAAAATATGCATCTTACTAAAAATGGAAGAGTAATTCTATTGGAATCTAAAAAATTAATCTAATTTATTGACATAATTATTTATAAAATAATCTGATATCTTATATTTTACAGATTCGAATTTGGATATACTTATATACGATTTAATCTGAATTATTTATATATTAGAGGCAACCTGTGTCTGAAAGACATGATGCAATGTAAATGGATTAAAGAGAGATGTTGGTAGCTGTTGGATGAGTCTATTTGAAACTGTTAAATGAATTTATTGAAATCTATCTTATTTTATAAAAATATAAATAATAAAAAAATTAAGTAATTATTTAAAAAAATAGTTGAAATTTAGGTATAATTTTTTAACATTTAGTTAATTAAGTTATTTAAATTGAATCGAATTTTAGGATTGTTAACAGATTCAGATATGGACCGCGATAATAAAATTTGCTAGATTATCGAATCGGACTTTTGAAAACAAATTCGGACTTGAATCAGTCAGAATCCGATCCAAACTCGGTCCGTTGACAGGCCTAATCACATTATTAGGTTAAAAAATTAGATCAATTTTTTACGCACCATACAATAACATTACCCTGGAAGAGAAGAGTAGTCAGATTAAGGAAATACAAGCATTTGAACAAGTCCAGGGATGGATATGTCCCATTCAAGTTACACCTATTTTTTTCTTTTCTTTGTCATCAGTAAGATTGTTTCGTTGATCAGAAATTTTTGTTTAATGCAATAGATTATTGAGACAGCTCACATGATTGTTGGTGGGTCGAGAAAAGTTGTTGGGTTATTAAATAAGATATGTTTTATTCATTAGTAGTTGACCTCCTGGTGGGTGAAAATTGAGAAAGACTTTCGGTGGAACTTATTTTTAAAGAAATAAAAAAAAATTTGTTTTTTGTTTTTTTTTTGTTTTTAAGAAATTATTAACTTATTTAAGTGATAAAATCTTTTGTAATTTGTTTAAAAGTACTTCAAGTTATTTCAAACACCTCTATTTATTTTACTTAAAGTGCTTATAACACCTAAAATGAGAGGGCAATCCGGTCTACTCACTCTGGAAAGAAAATTTGGCCTTGTCATGAAGAAAGAATACATATTAGTTACATTTTTTTGGGGTAATTGCGGTATCGAGTCAAGTGTACTTCATTCCTATAGCATATAAGGAGAGATTAATGAATGATTTAGCACAATCATCACCTAAGTACTGATGGTTTTTCTGCTTCTAATTCTTTGTTAATTCTCTCTCCCTCTCCTCTTCTCTCTCCAGTCATTTCTCCCAGTTTGTACTTTTGGATAAATTTTGCACACTGAAATGGTTTGGCAACAAAAAAAACAGCTTGCAACAGGCAAAGCAGAAAAGAGGTGAGGGGCCACATGGAATGGTCTCAAAAGAACATTTGAAAAATCAAAGAAAAAATAGTATGTGTATGTGTGTGTGACTTGACTAACATGGATTTTGAATGACACATGAGATTTTTCACATCCGTTAAAGACAAATATATTAAAGTAGTTTACTTAAGACATATCTTCTCTATTCTCCATGGTATTTTAAAGTCTAGTTAAAAAGGAAACTACTTATTGGTCGGTATTTATAGAAACTAAGAGAACAACTGTATAATACTGAAATCATCCTAAAAAACTCTAGTTTTTTTAATTAGATTAGATTTATGGAAAAATATTTTCCTAAGTAGGGTTGGAAATTACCTCCGCTCCTTAGATTAAGGCTCTTGAAAATCAAGAATTAAAATCGAAATGAGTTTATGTTTGATCAGGTGCAAAATCGAAAAGGAATACAAAACATCAACAATAAAGAAAAATAATACAGTTTTTATGAATATGCCCCATCTTAAAACTAATATATATTAACCATCAAGCAAAAAACATAGTCTGCAATAAAACACTACTAACCTACAGAAACAATCACTTTCAATTGGGAATTGTGCTCTACAAGAAGCTATATGTTGGATTGGTCTGGGTTTCTAATTTTAACATTATTTGGTAACTTAAGATTGTGTTGATAGATTGATTAGCCCAATCAGTAAGTGTCATTAGATTGACTATTTAACCTCAAACGGGTAGCTAAACTGATAGCAAGGATGAGATGTAAACTCAGACGTCTTGAGTTCGAATTTTGGATGGTTTATCTTTAACCGGACCAAGAAAATAAAGTAATCGAGATGCGCATAAGTTGACCTATACATCCTTGACTGATGAATCCAAAAATAAAAAATTTTGTTGACTATAGATCCTAGTAGTAGTTAGAACTCACTATTCAATACAATGATATTTATGAACTAGATCACCAGATTAGGTTAATAAATTAACAAAAAAATACTTTTCCTGTTTTCAATGCTATTCAAAATTCAGCCATAATGAAAAACTAGTAGGGTACATGCATGTTTATGTTCGGAATCTTCTCATTTCTTTATCTTTTGGGTCTTCTTGGTGGAGCCACTAGATTAATTTTCCAAGCTATTTTTCAAACCATCCATTTTGATTTCCAAAAACATAGTACTCATAAGATGGGAATCCCAACTTGACTAGTGGAGGAGACTAGACTAAAGAGAGAAAAAAGAAGGTATCCGCGGATCAAACTGAGAAAACTCGTACAAACCGTGAGAGTACGTTGTTCAAGTGGTAATATNTAAAATATCTATGGAGACTGAGAAAAGTCTTACGAACCCTAAGAATACGTTGAATAGTGGAGGAGACTAGACTAAAGAGAGAAAAAGAAGGTATCCGCGGATCAAACTGAGAAAACTCGTACAAACCGTGAGAGTACGTTGTTCAAGTGATAATATAAAAGATTTGTAAATCTAGACATTTAAAATTTGAATCTTGGTAATCTCTTGAGGTCAATCTATGAGGGATTTATCCCTCATGAATATCCTAGTTCCAGCATAGATGACCTACTTTTAACCGGACTGGAGATGAAATTAATCAAAATGCGCGTAAACTTGTCATGACACCCCTGACTATTGAACAAAAAAAAATAGAGAAAAATCTTAGATCATGAATAAACAAAAAATAGAAAAACACGAAATAACAAAGATTAAAAAGAATTTTTAAGATAAAACGAAAGCAAGAGAACAACTAAATAACTCTATTAAGAAGTTAAAAATATCTATGTCACCGTCAAAGCTTAGTTTTCAAATTGGATCAAATTTTCTAAAATAAATTTGTTTCCTTATTAGGATAAAAAAATATTTGTCCCCTAGACTAAGGCTCTTTTAATTTTTCAACTAAAATCCAAAGAATTTTATGTGTGATCAGGTTCAAATCAGGGCGGAATACAAGATATTTAGACATAATTCAAAGTTAATAGTATGCTCAATCTTAAAACTAATATTTGCCATCCTATAGTCATTCTACAAGCACTATCACCTGCAGAAACAATCGGTTTCACTTAGGATTGTGTTATGCAAGAAGCTATGATGGATTGGTCTGTTTTCTAATTTCAACATTATTTTGAAGCTTCAGGTTGTGCTGATAAGGACACTTACAAGTTTAATGTTAATAACACGTGTATGAAGATATGGTCTAACATAAAATTCGAGCGTAAAAAAAAATCGATTTTAATATATTAAACAATAATATATTTCCTTCTCTTTCTTTAATTACATAATTTAAAATTAATTTTGACCTATTTTTTAAAATAAAAATCGAATTTTCTTTTTCAAAATATATGACCTTACAAAAATATTAACATGTGTACATTATTATATATGAACAATGTTTAAAATAAAAATTATATTGAT